CAAGGTCATAATATGTATGCTTTCTAGCCTCGAAAAATTATGGTTAAAATAAAGAGAACAAAAATTAAAACAATCAATAATGTAGGGTATTGTTGAATGGTCGACTACTTGGTGGATCCCTATATAAATGTCAAGGTAAATCAAATTTGATTAAACCGAAGCGGTTTTCTTAATTAATTAAACGGGAAAAACGCGGGTCCGCCTAGTCACGCCGTTTCTGGCACGCGTTCCGCTTGTCTGATGCTTCGGGGCATGGCTCGATTTTGGATAAAAGACCTGTGTATATGGGGAATGGTTTGCAGAAGTCGGTCGGTGTCCTTTGATGGACTCTGTTATCGGGGTTTTGGCTCGTTCGCATCTTTAAAAGGATCAAACTCCGAGAAAAGGCCGACACAGATATGCACTAAAAACAATAAACGATAAAATTTTCGATTATTATTCAATTTTAAATTATGGCCTGGGGGAAACTCAATGACAGTTCAGTTTTAAAAGGCGTATGATCAAATATAAAAATAGGCCGGAGACTAAGTCCGTCTATTTTAAACTACAAGAGTACGATTCATGAATAATACTTTACTAATAAGATATTGCATACATTGTGAAATTTTAACTCTCAGGTTAATTAAACCATAAAGTAAATGTTTACAAAAGAATTACTAACAGTACTGTCAGAATTTAATCCATATTTACATAAGGACCATGGAAAGTACAAGCTTTTAAAAAAATTGAACTTTCTTATTCAAATATATATTCTTCATATATACATGCTTCAGTCTGTTGGGTATTTTTACGAAAAATAAATTATTAAATACATATAAAAATGTCTGTGTATAAAGGAAAAAAATAGAGGAAGAGGTTTTATTTTGGTAATATCGTTTAAAAAATAAAATCAATTAATCATACGCAACAGGATAAATTTCATCATAATACATTTAATTCTGAATCTAAAATTTCAGAAGATTATTAATTTTCAAAAGAATACACGTTATTGCTTAAAAGAAAATTTGTCTGATAATGGATAACTGTAAATTTTTTCTTAGTTTCAACTGGTACAGTTTGTTGGGTTTTAAAGAAGGTAAATAAATATTAAAAAATATTCGTGAGTAAAAATTAGTACAGTGGATTCATTTTGTAAGTATCTCTCATAAGACCGTTCTTCAAACACGACAGGAGTTCGACAAAATTTATAAACTGGCAAGAAAAAAATTGGATCTTTTAAAACATAATGATTGACTGATAACAGTTGATACACTGATATTGGATACATTTTGAATTTTGAAATCTCAGATTAGTTGAAAACAAGTGGGTAAACAACGTTTTAGCAGATTAGCACAAAATAGGAGTGAATGTATTTAAGAATGAACTATAGGCTTTGACAACTCAAACTAACTTTTATTCTATATTTTTTGACATAAATAATAAATAAGATATCGTACTCATCATTCCAGTGAAAATCAACAATAAGCTCAACGATAAAGCCTTGACCATTTATATCTTTTTTCTATATTTTTTATATTAATAAAAATATTTTTTTTGTTGGAGTAAAAATATGAGGATATACTCAACAATAGACCATAACTATTTAAACTAATTTTGATTCTATATTTTTTGTTACAAATAATAAATAAGATCTTACATATTCCAGTAAAAATCAACAATAAATTCAACGAGAAAGCCTTGACCATTTACATCTTTTTTTCCATATTTTTTGTATTAATAATTCTTTTTTTATTCGAAAAAAATATGAGGATATACTCAACGATAGAACACAACCACTTATACTAATTTTGATTTTATATTTTTTGTTACAAATAATAAATAAGATCTTACTTATTCCAGGAAAAATCAATAATAAACTCAGCGAGAAAGCCTTGAGCAGTTACATCTTTTTTTTATATTAATAAAAATATTTTTATTTATTTGCAAAAATATGAGGATATACTCAACGATAGACCATAACCATTTAAACTAATTTTGATTTTGTATTTTTTGTTACAAATAATAAATAAGATATCTTACTCATTCCAGTAAAAATCAATAATAAACTCAACGAGAAAGCCTTGACCATTTACATCTTTTTTTTCTATATTTTTTTATATTAATAAAAATATTTTTCATATTCGAATAAAAATATGAGGATATACTCAACGATAGACCATAACCATTTAAACTAATTTTGATTTTATATTTTTTGTTACAAATAATAAATAAGATATCTTACTCATTCTAGTAAAAATCAATAATAAACTCAACGAGAAAGCCTTGACCATTTACATCTTTTTTTTCTATATTTTTTTATATTAATAAAAATATTTTTCATATTCGAATAAAAATATGAGGATATACTCAACGATAGACCATAACCATTTAAACGAATTTTGATTTTATATTTTTTGTTACAAATAATAAATAAGATATCTTACTCATTCCAGTAAAAATCAATAATAAACTCAACGAGAAAGCCTTGACCATTTACATCTTTTTTTTCTATATTTTTTTATATTAATAAAAATATTTTTCTTATTCGAATAAAGATAAGGGGATAGACTCAACGATAGATTTTAATCATTTAAACTAATTTTGATTCTATATTTTTTGTTACAAATAATAAATAAGATCTTACTTATTCCAGGACAAATCAATAATAAACTCAACGAGAAAGTCTTGACCATTTACGTAGTTTTTCTATATTTTTTATATTAATAAAAATATTTTACTTATCTGAGTAAAAATATGAGGATATACTCAACGATAGACCTTTGCTATTTAAACTAGTTTTTATTTTATATTTTTTTGTTATGTTAAAAAATATATTTATTCAAGAAAATTGATCATCTAAATATTTTTTAGAAATTTGTTTTTGTATAATTAAAAATATCTTATTTATTTGATTAAAAATACGAGGATATATACAATGACCAGCCTTTGACATTTAATCTATTAGTCTTTTATACATTTGTTGTTGTACTAAAAATATATTTTATTTATTGGAGCTGGATATTGTCTCGGGTTTTAAAGTCTGGATCCGATCGAAAGCTAATTTCTGAGGATGAAGCTGTGCTAAAAGATTGCGGGTTCACTCCTTACCAAGAGCCCAAAAATAAACAGCGAGAACTGGTCTGCTGTCGGCCCACGGATTGATACGACTTCTTACACCGGCCGCATGTGGGAAGGCAAGAAAGTTAAGTTTTAAACGTGGCAAAACAAAATTAAAAATTCATCCAGCACGTTTAAGTTTCCGACTCAAGTGACAGTCGTGTGCTGGCTTAGTAAAATTCAATTTTTAATAACTGCCAAATCCTTTGGAGTCACTCGCGTACTTTTGTGCTAAAATACGTTTGCCCAGAGTAAATATTTACGAGGCTATAATCCCGTGGATAATACAAAAATATTGTTTTTTCTGATAATACCGAATCTCATCGTGTGTATTGTTCTCATTTCGTTCGACTGCCCAACAATCTTCAACCCGAACAAAAAAATCCATACGAAGTTTATATAAATTCATTATTAGAAAGACAATAAACCCTAATTGTACTATTTATTCACATCACAAACCTCTTTAAAATGAGGAAAATATTAAAATAAGCAATAAAATATTTAGCCTCCCCAGGGAGAGGACCCAGGCGAAAACTAAATGCAAATCATTCCCGTTATCATGCTTTCTCCTGGAAAGTACAACAGGTCAGACCAATAACATACAGAATGTGAAATCAAAATGTCTTAAAAAGGGGGAAAAAACCAGCCAGACTGATAAGACCTACCTGCACGGTAATATAGACACCGTGTGGGTTTTATTTGGAAAATATCACCCTTATTAGTTTATCTATTGTAAATATTATTAGATAAAATTTAAGATG